ACATGACGTTAAGTAATGTGTGTAGTTTACGCGAGTTCAAAACAAGGAAGTCAACTTATTTACAATAATTTATATTTACAACTTCTACGCCTGCGCCATCTGTAGATTTTTGACTCTGACATTTGAAAGTGTTATATGATGTCCTTTATATACCATGATGCCCCTTTACTCATATAAATCATCAAATATATATCCCAACTGTATGGAATGTGTAAGTTTTAAAGTGTACCAAGTATTTTACAACAATTTCTCATAGATCAATTTCTCAAGCAGCACAGAATAGATACGAAACGATTGTGTTGCAGAAAAAGACGTGGCAAGGCCTTAATTAAACAACCCACGGCATTATTCATAGCTCAGTCGTAACATTATCGACAAAACAATTGCATTCCACTATCACGTATAATATTGAAAACTGGCAATACTACGAGTAGTCGACTCACTTTCAACTCGATTCGTTCGATCCCTACCGTTTCAAATTCAATTAATGTGTTTGTACACAAAGGCCGATTATTTCAAAGTAGTGTTTGTGAATAGGACGCATAAAATAAAACATTTGTAACGGTTTAAAAACGCGAATATCACTTTATTAATGTTTAAACTCTCTTTGACGTTTCGGATGCTTTACAGCAGCCAGATATATCAAATGGATGGTAGGAATATCGATATTTTCTCTGAGTAACAAACCACCGTCCATATGTGATATCGCGTTAGGTTTCAATATTTAATCTTAAAAATAGGTGCATCTTGTTGAAATATTATGAGGCTGCGATATTTCAACTTCCATCAAGTGAAGACCCCCCCCCCCCACAAGGTTCTGTATCCTGAGTTGTGAAAAAAAAATGAAGAACCAAATGTTTTCGTGTTTATTGAATTAATAAATTATTTTTAAGACACAATCTAAGTTATTCTAAGAATATAATGGTTTTGTATTTGTGATTTATTAATTACAAATTAACTCGACACTTACCCGGGTTTTGTTAATGCTTTGCCATTTTCGGTGTGGCGCGGTAATAAACTAAAACACAAAGTAGGGCTTATGATTTGTAATCTGTAATTAAAGGTTAGCCCTAATGCCGTTAGATCAGTAATTAGGATCAGCCAGGTGCGCGCACGCATGCCTTTAGTAGGCGAAGTTAAAGTAGATTATCTTATATGTTGCTACATTGTATAGATAGATTATTATCATTGTTAGTGAATGATCACTAGGCCGTGTAGAGAACGATTTCTAAATGAACAAGTAAATCTCGACGATATTAATATCTTTTAGCTTGCCTCCAAGATATTATGTCTCTCTCCAAAATGTTTAGAGGTAAAAGGTGCTGAAAAAAGTAACACGCAGCAAATGGATAAATATAGTTTAAGAGAGGGCCGAGTAGCATGCTTTGGGAGAGGCCTACATCCAGCAGGACCCATACGGGCTGATGATGGTGATGATTGATGGGTTCAAATCCAGGCGAAACAATATAGTTTCAAACTTGGGGCACAAAAGGTAACTACTTGCATTGGGTAGGTAAAAAGATAGTATTGTGTCAGCGGTTTTAAAACGCTCAATACATTAGTTAACTTAATTTTATTACTATCCGAAATTTCGTATACTTTAAAATAGCCATGGTCAGAGATGTTGTGTCTGACTTATATATTTTGTGTTTTAAACCGTTAACAGTGTTTCTTATGATACGAGAGAATATAAAATACTTGTCTACTCGATTATGTGAATGAACGAAAAATTTTCAACTAAAGCGGTACAATTAGGTAACAACTTTGCGGTAATATTTTTCTATTCGGCCTCTTAACACAATGACTTTTGGGTTAATAATAGTATTGTGGTCTGTCTGCGGTTTGTGTTCTCAAATATTGATATAACTTTTAACGGTTGAGCCAACCAAAAAGCTAATATTTTAAATGCAACGCGATCCCTCAAACAATTAGACATGGAAACGGTACATCGAATGCAAATAACTCTTGCGCATATACACGTATAATAATCAATTAATAGTGGAGGTAACGGGGCAGGATAATTGACGCGATGTCTTGCCTTCTATGGGAGGATATGAGGGCCGCGGGTGACGAGCGGGAGCGGGTAGAATAAAGATAAAATGTATTGTAAAATTGCATCTTCACTCCAAAACCGAAAGTCGGGCGATTAAAAATCATTTTCAAATAAGTTTAACTAATATATCGCGTTTTAAACCGTTAAAGTTCCAGTATGATTAAGACTATTTGGTGTTTGGTCTCGCTCCTTACCGTATTACATTATAAGATTGACAATTCAGGTTACATTTTTGTTATATTATTGATTAATGTCGGTGAGCTATAAACGTGTGTCTATATTTGTAAAATATTAGTCTTATTATTAGAAAAATTGACAAGTTACTAAGATACGTAGCAGCATTTATAACAAACGGTTAAAGCTTAGACAAAATGTTCAAAATCAGTCCTGTCAATTGTAAACTGCAAAGTGTCAAATTATCTAGTTAATGTTTAGATCTTTTAAAGAAAGTCTTAAAACTCTACATATTATATATATTGGTGCAAGGACTATTCCATTTTCGTCAACACTGCATTTAAATAAAGAATGGGGAGACACTTGTTGCCTCTTTCATCTTCTTTGAAACAAAAAACTACGTATTGTCGCGAATCTTATCGTCTTGGACCACCTCCGGCACCCAAGTACCGACCGATGGTAACTTTAACTGTAACGTAACTCACTGCCCACAAATCCTCTCTAACGGCTCCTAATTAGGGCTTAGTTGTCACCCGCTGGAATACCACGGGTTCTAACACTCTGCGATAGACATAAAATACAAGGCAAAACGAGACATCTTCATAGTCATTATATTGAGTGGTGTGTGGAAAAGTTATTTTATTCTCATGGATGGGTAAAACGAAATTACATCGGAGGTTTATTTGGTTACGTAAAGCGTTATAAAAGTTGTCAAACTGGTGCCAGTTTGACAATTTATCACGTCATATAGTTTCTTTTTTATAAAAAATGGAAATGGGATTACAGCAAAGGGAAAAATGTCTTATCCATTTTAATAATACAGTAACTTAATTGAATTAAGTTTGTCTAATAGTTATCTTGTCTAATAAATTTAAATAACTGACCATTCGTAAGTAAGTTAAATAATTATATTTTTTTTAAGCTTTTACTGGTATAACATCTACTTGAGGACCAAAATCTTTTATTTATTATTTTCACTTGAAATAATAGTCTTAACCATACGGTAGCTCAATTGATTGGAACAACAGCACGAAACGCTGTGACGGTTCAAGTCCTGTCCGTGTCGTATTTTTTTTCTATTTAAAATCGATTTTAGTTTAAGAATATCTTTAACTGTTTCTATCCTTAAAATTAACTAATGACACAACAGGTCTTGATTTCACATTTATTTAGTATTCGTGAACGATTTCATTCGTCGAGACTATTGTAAATATTGGATTTGCATGGTAGTGTGGGACGGTTCTCAATTATTTGGGTCGCACTAATAAGGCTCACAATTATACCTTTGGGACATTTGAAATGCAAATCTGCACGAGCAGCAAGTGGGAAGGTTTTACACATTTAGTCTTACATAATTACGTACATCCGATTTCATTATTAGTACATATGTATAATGGTAATTGATAAAGATTGTGATTACAATACATGATAAAACAATACAAATTTAAGTAGTCTTCGCAAGTGGTAGGTACACGTAAAATAGAATACTTTCAACGGTTTAGAACGCTTAATACATTAGTTAACTTAATTTTACTACTATCCGAAATTTCGTATACTTTAAAATGGCCATGGTCAGAGATGTTGTGTCTGATTTTTGTGTTTTAAACCGTTAACAGTGTTTTTATTTGTACGTTATAAGATATATCGAAAAATATCTAAGCTTTTTTCGTCCTTAGAGTCCGACACGAGAATGGAAATAAGGTAAAATGTATTTATCTGCTTTTGTTGAATACTTTTGTCCTAGTAATGTTTGGGTCCTATAAAGTCAAATGTCTACTGGCAATGTCTATTATCTGATGCATGCTGGTGGTGACGTCACGGTGGGAGTGCCACCATGAAAAGCAACTTCGTTATCAAGGACGCGAATTGAAATGCAAATAGCCACCAAATTAATGCGCTGATGGTATTTCTCTTACGAAATAACTATACGATGCCTCTTATATGTATGAGAATGCCTTTTATTCGATAGTCGGATATTAATTTATAATAGTGAAATCCCGATTGTAGTGGAGGTAGACATATTTGTGTGTCTGTTCATTGATCGAATTAATTTACAGGCAAGTCGCAGATCAAATTCTAGTACGTTTTTTCGCGTGAATCGAAGGCGGATCTATCGTGTTGAAGACAATGCTAGGCAACGCATTTAACAATACAGCTTCAAACGCGAAGGGAAGGAGATATTATAAAAATGGCGACATAGATTATATGGACATAGTAATGACAATAATCCATATTTTTGTTAATTCTCGAAGTCCCTTGTCTCTGTATGTGTGTGTTATTTTTATATGTAAAAAGGCTTGGCTGTATTTTATAGATTACAAAGATTTTAAAAATATATATTTAAACAGAAACTGCCTACTCCGATATGTTTTAAACTATTGCATAAAAAAATACGGAAACATTTGTTAAATTAAATTAAATTTATTTTCAGGTAAATTCGACGAGGACGCGGTAGCTCAATTGGCAACAGCACGGATCGCTGTGTATGCCGGGTCAACTCCCACTCGCGTCGTAATATTTCTTCAATTACAACCGACTTATTTAAAGAAAACACTTTAAAGGTTTAAAACGTGATATATATTAGACAAACTTATTTGAAAATTTTTACTACGGCCCGACGTATATATCGAGTTTTAAACCGTTAAAGTGTTTTATTTAAATGTGTACTACTCGCGTAAACTACAGACATTATTTAAAATCTACTTTTAATTTATATACATTACCATCGTCTTAAAGCACTTTAAAAAGCGTTTATACTGTTTTAAGAACTCACCTTTGGTGTCAATATTGGTGGGAGTAAGGCTCGGGATTTCCGGTTGCGGCGGTTGCACCCTCGGCCCAGGCCAGGTGGTGGTACCACCACAATTGTATCGGGGCCTGGTGCAGTCTGCAGCATCGCGAAGTGTTGACGCATCTGCTGAATACTCTGCAATGACAGGAGCTTTATGGAAGGTGACACATCTGTTGCCCCTGGGTAAAGGCTCGACGTATACCGATTTAGTAGAAGTATCAGCATGCAAACATATTTATTAAATATATATTAGACTTAAGAAATTAAATAATTAAAACAATTGGACTTATTATCTATACTAATATATAAAGCTGAAGAGTTAGTTTGTTTGAAAGCGCCAATCTTTGGGGACCTACTGGTTCGAATTGAAAGTCTTTTTGTGTTGGTTAGAGCATTCTGATACCCAAAATTTGATATTCTACGCGGGAAGTAGCCAAACTGTTTTTGTCCTTACTGTTTTTTTCATGACTGTTACAGTTAACGCGATTTAAAACTCTCGTCAAAATCAAGACCAAAGCCGTTATTACATGTTAATGTTTTCTTAAAATATTCTATTACCTCTAATGATGTTTTCGATAACTAGTAATTGAATGCCAATTGCTCAATTTACTTACGGAAGCAGCGCAGACGTTGACATTTTGGTACAAATGTTCACACAATATTTTAAATTTTATGTTTATTTTATTTTAATTTATTTATGAGTTAGGAACTTTTTTTATCTTATATTTAAACGTTAATTGCGAGCACGAAACAAACAAGACATCAACCTATATGCATGAACATATTGTGGAGGGGGGCACATTTACCAATGTTACTTCTAGTCGTTGGGACAGAATAAGTTTTTGATGCGCTGTAGATCTAGCAGGGATGTGGAAGTAAATCTGCTGAAGTAAATCGGGAGAGTCTATCTGGGCACAACATAATATCTTCCTCAAGGTTTTTAAAAGATGAAGCTAACGGCGTTGACTCAGGGAAAGGAACTTAAAACGTCCCATCAGATAATTATAGTGACAACGATGTCCTAATAAGCGATAGCTTAACATACGAAGGAATTTCTTTTGCACCATCTCAATTTTATTTTTGTATATGTCGTAAAAGGACATATATAAAAATAAAAGTATTCATATTGTTATATGTATTGACCGCCTCTGTTGAATGGTTGAACGTGCATTGCGTTAGGCGCGAGAGATCCTGGGTTCGAATCCCAGGGAAACAATAAATTGCTTCTGGCAGGGCACAGTCTGATCAAGTACTTACTTATAAGAGGACCGATTAGTGAAACGGACACAGTAATGTGTTCGCCTGATGCCCTTCGAGGTGATTTGGAAATTCACTTTTTATATATGCGACGTTAGGGAAGTGAGCCGTTAGTGTTTATTATAATCATATATTATTACCAAATTATAAAGTCCTACCTCGAGAAATGATCTAACGCAAAACTAAATTTTCAATTTGAACCAGTAGTCTCTGAGCGCGTTCAAACAAACTCTTCGGCTTTATAATATTAGTAAAAATAACTACATAAAAAAATGTATTTAGTCTATGTATTTATGGTTGTGTTAGTCTATCACTTATATAACATAACCAACACCACAGAATGCATGAATAGTGTTAGACTTTTAGAAATAATTTTATGTACACTAGTATTACTGTTAGTGTTTAAACTGTGCACTAATTGATAGAAAATAACATACTTCTCGTCGTAGTAGATTGTAGTAAACTTGCTGTTTGACCCCCGGGGAATGTCGCGTTGCGTTTGTGACGACCCTGGAAAAGAAAAATCGTCAACTATAGCATTGTATTGTACATAGCATGTTCATAGAACTATTGGTAAAGGTGTTTAATATAAAGATAAGTCATTGATTATGCGCAATTAAGATATTTTTTTGTGATAGAGGGTGGACAGACAAGGGTGGGGTCCGCTTGATGGTAGGTGGAATACCCCAGCCATATAACATCTACACAAGGTGCGTATCGACCTATTTTGACTTTGGATATTCGGAAATCCACAGACTGAAACCGATACGCGACTAAACATTACGGCTTTTACATCTGTGGAGCCGGGCGGTATGTCGACATTTCCAGTGGAAGTCTAGCATGTTTTAAAGAAATACAAATTGGGGATCCAAACCACGACCTGTTGATTTTTAGCCATACATTGCCACCATAAGACTAACCAGCCCGACATAAAACTAAGTTATGTTATATAATCGTAGAAAAGACTTAATTTTGTGGTGGGGCATTTTAAAATATGTTTAATTATTGTAGTATAAAGATTAATTAATAAATTAGTTTTAGATTTAGAGCTTTCATTCGCCTTTACCGCGAATATGATATAATTGTAATAAACAATGATTCAGCCATTGCGGGATAATAAAATTAATTGTCAAAACAGTTCCGCGCTGCGCCCGCGCAGCACGTTATCGCAGTATTCGGTAAGGTGAACGAACCGATATCTTTATTTATGTGCATTTTTGTTTCATAACAGAGAACAATATAAACTTTTGTTTGTCTTATCTGATATTTTATTCTTAACAAACGGCGTGAGTAACATCTTTTGTAAAATCGAGATTTTGTTTCAGATTTATTCTTTTGTTTGATGACAAAACATCGTAAAGATATAAAGAAGTTAAATAAAAATGCAGAGGTATTTTACAATAAATGTGAGTATTTTTAAAGTTATGCTATACAATTTAATTTTTTGTAGAGACAAAATCGTTTTACGTGACCTCTTGTGAACATTCATACTAAGAAATATTCATAAAAATTCATTAAGCACTTGGAAAAAAAAGTCGAATAATTAATAGCTTACGAAATATTTTCTAGGATTATTTGCAGCTCACAATGCTACAGATTATTTAAAACACTTATAACGGTTTAAAAAGTAAAAGAAATTTGTTTATTTTTATAAGTGTACGCGAATAGTTAGATGCATTACCTTTGCAACCGTTAAAACTGTATTGAACCTCAACTAACGTACAACATTTAAAAATCTATTGATAGAAATAGATAAATTGATAGAAAATAAATTGAAACAAGTCGGGCAGGACTTGAACCGGCATCGTCAGCATTCCGTGCTGTTGTTCTACCAATTCAGCTACCGAGTCCTACACCTCATCGTCGAATTGTTTCAACTTATTATACATATGCACCTCTCGCGCAATGTAATTTCAACCTTAACATTGCATGTTATGGTTTAACAACATTTAAGAATTGCCTGTCCATATCGGTACACTCAAAGAGAGAAACGTCTGACTAATTAAAATAACCTAATCGAATTCATCAGAACCACTTCCACGTCCATCGATCAGCAGTAATGAGTCCATAGAAACTTCTGTAGAGAATCTTTTTCATCAACGTGTGTTTGAATTAATTCCGGCATATCACTAAATCTGGCGACACTAATTGCCCACAATTTCCTATCTACCTTCCTCTTCTCTATATACGGATGCCATGTCCGTTACCGTTTTCCACGTAGTAATTATCCGATGACTATAATGAGCTATTCTTCAATCTCTATTTCAACCAATTAACTGCATGCCAGGCGATTGATAATTGTTTGATGGAAATTTTCCATTAAAAAATTATGCCATGGAAATAAAAACTTAAATTTGGCTCGTTGGGCTAATAGTAGCTATGTATAGCTAATGATCAACGAGTCTTGGGTTCGATCCCCATCAGGTCTAACATTTTTCTAATTTATAATTTTTCTGAAACATGATGGACTTCGCCTGGGAATATAAAATAGGATGGAGATATTAAATAGGTCGTAGGAATATTGAAATTCCGTCCAAGACACGAACCTTAATCGCGTTTCGGTTTCAGTCTGTGGTTTTCCAGATCAAAGCTAAAATAGCTCGACAGCACATCTTGTTTACATGCTGGCTGGGGTATATCACTTACCATCAAGTGAACTTCTTGACAAGTCTGTCATCGTCTTTCATTAAAAAAATAGTTTATGAACAATACGAGATTATGTGAATATACATACTCATGACAAAAAAGAAAACATAAAAGTCCACATTCCTAACTAATGTTAATAGCCGTACGTTTTATCCATTGAGAACCTAATATGTCTTTGAAAGTCCTTGCTCTCTTTCGCGTCAAGTGCGAGAGATAAGGCTATTTGAAAACAATGCGCCGGCGCAATCGAGTCACGCGTGTAAGATGATCCTGCGCTAATTACACCGCGCCATTTACTGCAACTGGGACGAGCAGACTACCTATAGGGTTGTCACTACGATAAAGACCGACCAAATAGTCAACAGCGCACCTTGTTTAGATTCAATTCAATTATTATTTATTCAATTACAAAGATTCCTACCTTCCTAGATATTATGTGGCTGGGGTATTATACCTACCATCTTGTCTGTTCCTTTTTATCATAAAATTTGAAAAATATTGTAGTCACTTGTTTCATGAGTAGAATCATTATTTTGAGCAAGTCTATATTTAACTCATTTAAGCGATGTTCGTGCGTATATATGTAAAATTTAAGAGAGTCCCAGATCTGAAATTAATTAAAATAATTGGGTTAGTAGTGGTATAAAAGTTAACACTTTTAACATCCTTAATTATATTATTTACTATCTTTGTAAAGATGATGTGGCAACCCTAATTAATTCTCGCTATATTCGTTTGAACCAATCGACGCAGGATTACCACTAATATAGAAATTGGGCCATCGTTTGAAGTCGCTTTGAAGTTTAAGCGTTGCTCTTAGATTTACGAGTATTCACGGAATTGAAGATTTCGAGAATAATTACAATTATTAATTAAGAACACCGTCTTGCACACGTACTCTCTAATTCTTACAACAAAACATGTATTACAAAATTAGGCTTTAATATTGCTTAGCAGTAAAAAAAGTTACTATGCCTGAATAAGCAAAAGTTACTACAATGTGGTCTGTAAAAAGAATTATCTTTTACTGGAAATCAAAGTTAAAAAATCTACCTATGTGGGGCCAGACATATTACTGTGTCCGTTTCAACGTACGATTTATTTACAGCCAAATAGTAGATATCCGGACGTCGAAACCAAGCCTCGTAAGTTGAAGTAGGAACTTTTAGGAAGATCTTAGCTTCTCTATTGATTTTAAGTTAAAATACATTATTTGTATGGCAGTATTTAAATTTGAATTCCGTTAGATATGGATTACTATCGAAGCTCTTATCATAGGAAAGTTTTACCCAATAACGGCATAATTAAATAGATCGAACCGAAAAGCATTTATTCGGGAATGCTGTACACAATAGACTTATCACCTGTCGGACGTTTATGCGCCTGCGCAGGTGCCAATTGTAGTCAGATGCAACGCATCGAATTGTATTGCTTTTTTCATTGATGACAGCTGACCTTGTCTAAAAATATAGGGACGCGTGTCGTATATTGACAATTGTAACTGGATATTGAAAAGTTAGCATTTGCAAGAGTAATTTTAAAGATAATACGCAACATTAATGTTAAAACATTCGTTTCTTTTTTCGGTAAATCATGTAAATAATATCGACAAAATGAAAGGGACACAGAAATGTCCCATATCACCACATAGATACCGTTATTTTGAAAGGTGAGTTTTCAGATTAAAATCCTTTGAAACCCACGTTTTTAGACCCTAAATATCATGGTGAAATATTTGAGAGTATGATTTGATTAGTAAAATAAGTTCAGTAGTTTAAACGCAAAAGAAACATACAATAACTTATACGACTGATAAAATTCAGCTTTGTTGTGCAATTAATATATATATTAATAAAAAAGAAAAACGAAATGCAATTTTTATACATTTTCCGACGTTTCCGCTGTTTTACAGCAGGCGTGGGCACGGGAGGGATAAACACAACTAATTTATTTCGCGTTTTAAACGGTTAGAAGTGTTTTATTTATATTAATATTCGCGTAAAGTACTGACTATAGTTAGTTCGAATTCATTAAAATTGTGTCCTCCGAATTTCTTTTACCAATTACATAATCATTAAAATGATTAAATAAATTACTAAGAAGTGATGAAATCATTGAACTTTCCATCGACAGCATTATATGTCCCACATAGCACCTCGGTTTCCTGTTTTTTTAACACGATCCCGAGTAGTGGAAAAGTCATCGAGACATCTGGCGAGTGGTGAGTCAGCTATGAAACCGGACAGCCGGATCTTACTCGTAGTAAGGCTTTTAAGGGAATCTATAAATTAAGTATTTCTTATATCTTTTCAATATTTACATAAATAATTATTAGTAACTATTAAACTATTAGTTCACGTTGAAATTTGTATTAGTAGACAAATCCTGTTGTAATACATTTTTGTGTCCGACAATGATCGATTTTATTTCTAGAGTAGCCTCTCAGACTTTTCGGGATTCAAAATTTGAATAAGGAACTTGTATTATATGTTATTTAAAGTTATCGTATCGTGATATTTACTTAATTCACTTACAAGAGATTTCAAAGTGATAAAAATTTTGTACTCATAAAATTTTAATATCAAGTGTTGTATATACGAAACAAACTCCGTGTATATGACAGACGACAAAGTACTAAATAATAATTAAACTGTTGAGCCTTATTTGATGAAATAATATGAGAGGTCGAAATATATATGAGATTTAGTCTGTCCTCCTCGGTCATAAAAAACATGAACACTGCCAATCATTCAGCAACAATATCGATATCAGGTTATCCCAAATCTAATTAAATCCCACAGAGTATTGCAACTCAGCCTGCAATTTGCGCACGCGCCGCTTTCGAAGCCAACGTCTCATTATCCACCACTTAGACGTCTGAAGACCATATTTTCGACTTCCGTGGAATCAGATATTCGCCGATAAATTGCTTATGGACACGTAATTACGTCGTAATGGTTCAAGATTAACAGCCGAGAATTAACTGTTATGTCATTTTAGTTCCGGTCTTAGGAAATAGTGTTACAAGCTTCAACTAGATTCGGGTATACTGTTTATGTTTAAGAGATCAAAATATTGTACAGAGTATGATAGAAAACAATCCTTTATAACGAATTGTAATTTGTCAAAATCATTCTTGCAATAACGTAGTTAAAAGTGAAAGAACTAGTATACTCTGCGTTCAAAACCGGTGTTTCTATCATTGTGAAGTCAAAACTCGCGTAATACAACCAATACTTCTTATTAAGTCATTATTTGTTAAATGTCTTGATTTTGTTTACAGTAGTAATGAAACACCTTAACGGTTTAAATAGCGAAGTATATTAGACAATGGATGCTGCAAAGCATCCGAAGTGTCGGGCCGTAGTTAAAAATAATTGGAAACAAGTGTAACAGATATATTTCGTGTTTGAGACCGTTTAAATGTTTATTTTAATCGTGTACCACTCGTGTAAACTACTAGGCAGTATTTGGCTTACCTTACTCCGGGGATACACGCTTAGAACATCAGCCCACCACCTAGCCTCTTCTCTGCAGGTTCCCTTCACAAAAGTCACACGATCTGGAGCAGTTATCGCCAAGCTATAGGAATGTCCCGTGACGCTGTCTGCCTCACTCACTTCGAGGACCGTGGTCATGTCTATACTGGCTTGAGGGACTGTGTCTGGCTGTAACAAGGAATATTGCTATTAGTTAGGACTATTACAAAATGGTCGACTGGACATCTAGTGGACACCGAACGGCTGAAACTGTTATGAATTCATTTTTAGAAAGGTCAGCGGTACCGTAATTTTCGAACACAGTAAAGATGTCAACAGTTTGAGCAAATTTTACATATAGTGTTCGTTTTAAACTTAGTCGTAAAATTTAAATCTTGTATTTTTACTTCATTGTACTCTAAGTTTAGACAATAAACAAACATATATTTTTAGGGAAACTTATCTAGTGAATTCAAACGACACAATAGACATTTTCCCGAATTAAAGCCAAAAACATCTTGTTTGAGAATTGTTAACACTTAAAGCGTGTGTTTTTATAGTAATCTTATTTTTTGTAACTTTAAATAATAGAAATGTCTAAACCCCAAAAGATACACGCTCTCGCTTCAGCTAAGCGTCTTACACGCTATATACACTAAAAGAGATCCTGTTCCACATGCAGCCTCTGAATTTTACAATCGATTCGAAAGAGCTAAAACCATGAATATGCAGATGTTGGAAAGCTAGCCTTTATGTTAATATTGCTTTGAATAATTTCCTATTTAGCAATTACTAAACGGAATAATTTCCGATTCGAAATATAATGGCAAAAGCGTTATACGCCTATGGTTTATTGGATAACATTCAGCGGGAATATCCAAACGGCATAAGTTTGTTCGGCGTGATTGTGGCTAGCGGTATTCTAAGTGGAATTGGTTATGCGAATGTTCAAAGAAATATTATGCGGAAGTTGTAAGGGTTTACAATCATCATCAGCTCTTCTGATGATGATTGTAAACCTATAGTCTTCGTATTAAGGATACAAATATTATATAGATATATTCAGGAGCAAGCTAAGCACATTCAAAAGATAATTTTTTACTCAGTTGTGTCTTAGAAATTAACATTAGGTTTACATAGTTATTTAGTTTTTGTTATCGGCATTTTGTACTTGTCGAAACTTATTTATATTAATATTCGCGTAAAGTACAAACTTAGAACGAACGTATTAAAGACCTATTACAGACATAGAAATGTGTCTGCTTCGTATCCACAAAACGAGGTTTCTCAAAATGAAAGAATTCGTATAATTGATTAGTCTAATAATAAAAACTATAACTTAACAAAGAATGTGAAGATCTGCGAGTCTTTAAAATATGTCCAAACATGTTACTCCTGTAAAGGTCAGCCCTACAGTAACCGACTAATGGCAAGTCATTAAAAATAAAAGCTTCACTTGTCCATCTTAATTATATTCAAAACGCGTAAATTGATACGAACATAATGCCGCTGGATCTTTTTAATTATTTTTCGCGCAAATTACTGTTGAGATGTAAACTTTTTAATTACTACATTTTGTCCTTCTCAGAATGGTTTAAGTGACAATCTAAAACCAAGTAAGGTATGTATGTACATTTCTATTCTCAACAGGAAGATTTAATAATAATAAATATCCTATTTTTAATGAATTCAGTACAATACTAGAACGAAATAAATGTTATTTGAAGAAAAAATCAAGAAGACCATTATATTTGTGGGTAAATATTATTGAAATGATTATCGCTTTACGAGGGACATAAACTGCGAAGCGTATGAACTTGAGGCCCAGTGCCTCGGGACCTGTTTAATCGTCGGTAATAAGTAATTTAGTATTTATCGCCATGTTTGATGCGCTTGCTCAATGCAAATAACATGGCGTCCAAGCGATGCTGTTGTTTTAGGATTCCAATTCTTAGATAAATATGATAGATGGCGAACAGATGACAATTTAAAGAATAAACAGAAGTTGGAAATCGGTTTAGATTAAAACGACACGGGGGAATTTTCTTCATATGTAATACACGTGAAAAAGATTATATTAACGGAACTGAGGCAAGATATTGTAGTTTTTTCTATCTTGCATTATAAAAGTCGTGAGTACTAAGCAATATAACTTAATTGAAGATTTGTAATCATTAGGTAATCATTTATTTCTTTCTTCCAAGTAGAAGAGTAGTTTATAAAAATGGAACATAAAGAAACGTGAACATCGTCAAAATACTTGGACATTGATTTAGCTGGACAAATGTAAGTAGAACTATGGTACTTATTCACTTTTTGTCTCGTTGTATACCCTAGTTGGTCAATTATAATTGTCTCTTAATTAGTATTGTCGACAACCCTAGGTCCATTACTTTCGGCGTCTTTGAAAAGTATTATGTCAATAAAGTGCCGCGCTATCGCGAGATTTATTAATTCGACCGTGTCGATCCATACTCGCTCCATCGCACAGATCCTTACGCATCGATCGCAACGGGAGCCGAGGTGAAAGCCCGCCAAAAATAACGAAGCAGAAAAAGTGAAAATAAATTTCACGTAAAACACGCCAACGAAACCAATTAAATCGCATCGGCTTGTTCTCGTCATGAGCGGGTATCAAACTTTATTAATCAAAGCCAATGAGACGTAAAGACAAACCAGATTTATTGTACGGCTTTCCCGTCCAGAAATGGTCTAATTTGACATTGCATCGCGGGCGCAAGATATTATGCAACCGTGTCGAACGCGTATGGTAATTCCGTTGGTGTACATCGCTGGCTCCGCTTACAGCTTATGCAAAGCAGCGTGCGCTCGCCGAGCAATGAAGCGAATATTGGCGATGTCTGCGTTGCGATTCTGTTAAATAACCATTAACGATTATGTAATGTTCCCATACGACAGTCTTGCAATAATTTCGGAGTAGCGGGACACGGGCATTCAAACGAACTGTGAATGGGATGGAATGCCTCGTTGTCTATTCGACGACAACGCCTGTTCCGATAGGTTTATGTCTGAGATCGTGAATACATGTAAAGACAGTTGAGATTTATTATTATAACCTAAATATTAGAGGATTGCTCGTGGGCGTCGTTAACTGGGAGTGTTTGATACGGCGGGGGAATTATGTCTTTATAAGCGATTTTCGTCGTTGATTTAAGTGCTATTCCGCGAATTCGCCTTCTAGAAGGTAACTTTCGGGCAAATTAATTCGATTAGGATTCCGTCCTTAAGAATTATTAATTTGCAGTAAGGACTGTCTTTGTATGTCCGTGTGTATATAAGATACTATCTACATTTTGCAGAATTAAAAAATAAGCTTCGTATAAGGGAACCCCCTTAAGGGAAAATACAGGTATATGTATGATAGTAATAGCTAGATGCATTAAGATGGGTTGCCGACCAATTTAGACTTCTCTCAGAATTATTTTATCTACTTTTTCTTAGATATCTTCTATACCAGTATACAATGTAACATCGATGCAATTCACATCAAAATATTAACGAGCAGAAAGTAGCGTAAACAGTAGGCCTTTGTAACGCATTGTCCAACTTAACTGCCTCGACATTTTCACAGCAAAGCGTGAACATAAAAGTAATTTTTAACATCGTGTTTACTGTTCGCCATCAAGCGACCGTAAAATTAATGCGAATGCTAATTATAAGCGTTGATTTCATACAGACCTTTAGGCTGGCCATAAAAGAGCGATTAGTTGACGTTCACTCGATCTTTATACAAGGCTGGTTAAAGTGATAAGGGGAAGCAGTTTTTTTAGATACATAAGCATGATTTTTCGATTTATTATTTTCAAATTTTTCACTTTTTCCACGATTTATCGCTCCTATTGATCGCAGCCTTATAGCCTAGGAAGGTTATAAAACATCAGGCGATACGAGAGAAGAAACAGTGAATAATGTGGAGTACGCAGGGAAAACAAAAAATATGTTTGAAAGTATAAGTCTTTTTTGTATGCCCTAAAAAATGTCAGCGGCAGCATATATCCATCTTTTAATTAATAAAGCTGAGAATCGTGTTTAAAAAAATAAATATAATGGTCAAAATAACCATTCTACGCGGACAATGTCGCGGGTACATCTAGTATAATATAGAAACAATGTTCCGTTGATTCGTCCGTGTATAATTTGCGATTAGGGTTTCAACTTTTGCAGACGCCGGGTCCTTAATGCAAATTGATGGTAAACTGTCCCGTACAGGTATTAAACAGAGCCTGTACTTAGAGAAATTCTATTCCTAATGGCCGAGATAAGGATATTAAACGCTCCCAGATATAAACCGTTGTTTAGAAATTTTAATCAGATACTTAAATGTTGGATATCATTTTCCGCGTGTGTTTATAGTTAATTATTCCTGTTCAGACCCTAATTGCAGGCGAATGCAACGGTGAATGTTATTCGATATATCCAGGACAACGTTTCATAAATAAAATTAATGTATTTGCTTTCACTAATGATAAAACTTTGCATAGTACTGCTATTGATATTTCTAGAGGTAGCTTTTAATGATTTGTAGGTCTTAGTACTAGATAGGCTGAATCTAAAATGTGCATAAAGTAAACATAGATTTTCGACTGAAAACAATTTACGACACGGGCAGGACTTGACCAGCCTCCACAGCTTTTCGTGTTGTTGCTATAAACAATAGAGCTACCGTGTCATATGCACATTCTAAGCTAATAAAGCTATAGTGAGCTAATTATAACATGTTTATAATTAATAGTTAATTATAAGTCTCAATAAACATATGTGATCATTAAAAAAAGATAAAAATGATGGTACATTCCGATTTTGGCACTCGAATCTTAATTAAAAAGGTCACAAGATGGCGCTGTCGCACATTCAAACTCCAATGCTACAGATAAAGCTTAATTACAGTCATGATCTAGTTCAACCAGATGTTACAATAAAGCTGCTTCAATAGACACATCGTCACTTAGATAAGCAAAAGACAATCCCATAAACAAGTCAGCGGGGAACCGTTAAGAGGAACGGTTAGGGTGCGCCTACGCAAGACCTGGTGCCGATAGCCAAGAGTTACGGACCCCACGCACGCTTTAGGTCAAGGGGGTACAATGCTAATATTTACGGGACGGTACAGTACAATTACACGAACGGACCGCTAAGATTATCTCTGTCTTCCATTCGAAATTATATCGTGGCTGAAAACTAGAGTTCAAAGTGTTGTTTTATACCGAGGTTCCAAACAACTTCCGCGCCCAACGACAGCAATGGTAGCAATAATATGAAAAATCCTGATATTATTTACTTGGTAGTTCCGGACTGAACTTCGATACCTACCAAGCCGGCTAAGTCTAGCAAGCACGCCAAGCTAAGGTACCACCCATGAAAAAGCCGTGTAATTTAAATACTGTCTCTTTACGTGAGTAGTACACATTTAAATATAACACTTTAACGGTTTAAAATGCGATATATATTAGTTAAACTTATTTGAATCGTATATATTTTCAAATAAGTTTAAGTAATATATATCGCGTTTTAAACCGTGTAATTTAATCACGTTTCGGCTTCTGTCTATGGATTTCGAATACAAAGTCAAAAAAGGGTCGTAAGCATTTTGTTTAGATGCAAATGGCGTATTTCATTTATTAACGAGTGAACTGTCTTTAACAATTTAATTCTATCGGGAACCCTAAATGCATAACGATAGCTGTGTCCCCGCATCTATTATTACAGGCGCGGTATCGAATGTGGGACAACACCAATTATGGGTAATTTGCACCAAGATGTACTCGTCGGAGCTGTAATTGTTGAGCCTTGGAGTGCCTGCCGCTTATGGCGAAAATATATTGATTGTGAGTGTGTAGGTGCTTGGGTGGGTTGGTGTGTATTTGTATTTGAAAAGAACACAATAATTAGCTAAACATACTTATTTAAATAATTATGTTTTAACGGTTTAAAACGCGATATATTAGTTGAACTTATTGAAAAGGATTTTTAACTTCGGCCCGACGTTTCGGATGCTTTGCAGCAGCCGTGGTCACGGGGAGACGGTCTCCTGCGTTTTAAACCGTTAAAGTATTTTATTTAAATGTGTACTACTCGCGTAAACTATAAACAGTATCGAACATACTTATTTAGATTAATTAAAAAAAAATGCGAAAGTGGTGGCATTATATACATATAAATTACTTGTACATTTGTAATCTACACGATTGTTACACATGCAAAACACTACAAATACGAAATATATTGTATACATAACGCCATGCATTTATTTAGAATTATTATATTTCGTGTTTTAAGCCGTTAATTATGTTTTATTCAACCTTCATTTACACAACTATATAAAACCCAAACCCAACGACGATTTAACCTGAAAGATATGAATAACGCACTTTTATAAACAATGTTATGTAATTCGTTATTAAAGTTGTTCTCGAGATTAGCGCATTCAAACTCTTCAGCTTTATATATTAGTATAGATAGATTATATCTGCGCCTGCGATTAGTTTGGCACCTTATTCATTAATATCAGCTTAGTATTTTAACCTCTTCAATGGAATATACATACAGTCTGACAAAATCGTAGCTCTGGCCTTGCCACATATGAAAATATGTAGGAATTACCGAGTACAATCAGAATGTATTATTTAAGTGTTTTCTATTTAGCTCGCAGTCGAAGCGGTTATTTGTTGTGCATATAATGAGAGACATTTGCGTGAAAGTGCAATAATAACAAAATATACATCAGCGCCGGAATCACAGGCTGTGACGGAGTGATTGGTGCGTCACAAGCGACGGGCGAAAGCGATTTCGATGAGATACAATATCAAATAGAATGATCAACGTTTAAGTTACTGAACTGTGTATTAAAAATATATTAATTCCCTCAAAACGATGGAATACAATAGGAAATAAATCATGTAAATCTTATCTCACCAGGGATCTACGCAATGTCCTTATTGTAGTGGTGCACTCATATGATCTCTGGTTCGAATTCTCGATCAAAATTACTAGCCCAAACTTTGAAAGTACGAGTTTTTTACCCACATACTTAGGTAAACTGGTTAAGAACCGGTTTTGGTTATTCATCACTAATTTAGTAGTAGTCGATATCTTTATGGGTGGGTCTCTAATCCTATTGACACCTGTGCAGTGTACTATGAATTAGGTTAAAACGGGTCGATGTTTATAAACATAGAAATCCGCTACATCCTATGAATTAAAATGACCACCAATAGCCGTCCACTTCCTACCTGCGGCTTTGTCTGCTATTAGGGCGATATCGGTGTTTTTGTATCGAGAGCCAAGTAGCGGTTTTGTGCGGTTACACTGTCTCCTAGATTCTACTGTTTTTCTTCCTCATGCTTATCAGAGTATGAAGTAACGCTGGGTGTTCATTTGAATAGGCCCGATGCGAGTGAATGACTGACCGCCTTCACGAATTAATGAACCATTCGAAGGTAGTAACAGCATAGAGCAGTTATAATGCAGATTGTCGTAATGACGCCTTTTCTATCGTGTATTGAAAGCTAATGTTTGAATATGGAATCCATAGTTTATCTTGCACACTGAAAATAGATTAAATTGCATCGAATTTGGTATTTAAAAGTCGACTACCCTCAAAAAATTGTATGTTAAAGACTAAATGGTTAAGTCGGGATATTATATCTAAAGTACTGAGAATTGTAATTTAAACGGATTAAAACTTTAAAAAGTTACCCGACAAACTACATTTTTTTACGTCTTATAGCACTATTATGTATAATAACATACACACCACAAAAAAAACACATAGGAGCAAAAATCTTACATACCAATTTATAAATACCGTCGTTTCATATAAAATATTTTCTACCCTCTTGCTTCTACCTTGGTTATAATGAGATGTATTAAGTGCGTAATTATTTATCTCAAATTAAATAAATACGAGCTAAAACAATGACAGTACTGTCGACCTTTGAAAGCGTATAAAGCAAATATGCGCACGCGCATTGGCAGGACGCTCTCACCGGAAGTGTCTCCACAGACAATACTCTATTGTGGAGTAATTACCGGGACATTCCTTCTCATTGTCATGTGACCTACTTTCAAATGTCCCATATGTTAACACAGGTAAATTGACATAAGGCATAGGGTACACTAGAAATATAAAATCACTTTAAAGGTACGAAACAGAGAGACAAGTTGAGACTTTATTTTGTATTATTCAAGTACTTCTGTAGTGTACGCGAGTAGTATCAATTTAAGTAAAACACTTTTATCGGTTTAAAATGCGCAATATATTAGTTAACTCATTTAAAACAGGGACTACACATAGCCGTTCGTGTAAAGTAGTTAAATAATATATTTCTCTTATGAACCGTTAAAAGTATTTTATTTATAAGTATAATACTTTTTTTTCATATCCATGGGTTGTGTGTATGTAAATAAGTTGAATAATATATTTCTCATTTAAAACCGTTAAAAATGTTTTATTTAAAAGTATAGTAGGTACTTTTTGAAAAACAAAATTTGGTTGGTACCTTTCTTTTAGTATAATCTTTCAGTGTCAAACAAATTACTTTTTATTACTTTTTTATCTCATACAAAATGATTTTTAAAAAATTAAAATATATATTTAAGGTTGTTATGTTCCGCATGGATAAATTGTTCCCGATGTAAAGACAACTTTATGCCTTCATCCTTAATCATATGTCCCATTACAATACAATACGCAATCAAGGATCGAATAACTTCAAATGTATATCAGATACATATTACCTTTTATTTTTTTTATATTTGTATTCCGACAATACAATTGCTAAATAAATTGTAACATGACCACAGACATTTTAAAACGTATAATAATATTTGACCCTGTACACTAAGTATTTTTTTCTAATAAGCAGAAAGAAGAGAATAACAAACATTCGTTCTTACTAACCCTTTTAAAATCGAAACGCAGGGTGGCTGTCTGGCTACAAATATTATTTTTGAAATACAGAAACAATTCTAACCTAGGAACGAGGAAGCGAAAACCTAGCGACAGTCAAGTCATTAAAAACTAGATCAATGAGACAGGATACACATTACACACACCCCTCCACAGTCCATACAAATTATTTATTATCTGTATTTGTTGCAACTTCAATAACTCCAGTTTTATATGCACATCTAATCAATTTAATAACGATTGTAAACTGATATTTGATTATCTGGACTAACGGGATCAGTTTTAAAAGGACTGTGTTTCGTAAAAAACTACTGAGGAATATATAGTATCGCACACAGGTGAAAAAAGAAGATAACTACCTATGTAATTATTAAATTTCAAAGGTAACATTCAAAATGTATTTGACTAGAGACAAACTAGCTAAGATTTAAATTGAAATAAATTAAAACAACAACGACTTATTCGCAGCGAGCCACAAATGTAGGTAGTTACGAGGTAATGTATATATTCCTTGAGTTTTATTCTAATTCAAGTTCACTCACTATATTAATCTCAACACACTAAGCTTATTGCATGCTACAAATCAAAATATTACACGCACTCATACACTAAACTTATTTGACGTAAAATAGAGGTCAGAATTTATTCGCAGTTATTTAAATTACGAAGTAAAACGTAAGTATATAAAATGTTAATTGTGTTGTAACTACGCGTTATAACGCTATCGCCATTCACGCTCAGTCAATCAGAAAGAAAATGGCGGAGCGGTGGGCGCGCGGGCGAAGCGTGAGCGGGTGCGGGGGCAGAGAGGGGCAGAGCGGGCGCGGGGCCCACTCTAGCGGGCACCGTGAGCGAAAGGGACGAAGCGACGCAGCGGACGCCGCAGCGGGGAGCGGGCAGTACGCTGTAGCGCTCGGTGTTGGCCGGTTGCGTGATGTCGTTCGAGAATATTCTGAACAAAGTTAAGGAGCACCCTGTGCTCTGGGACACGGGGCACAAATACTACAAGCAGAAGACGGTGCAGGGGGAGTCATGGGCACTGATAGCGAGCGAACTGGACGTTGAAGGTGAGTATTGTACTGTGGGAACACGCCGGCCCGCTGTTTACAGTTACCGACTTACTGTTTACATTTATCGATTAGTCACCGTCCATTGAGCGTGTAGTTATTACCTTATTATTTCCTAATGTTGTAATATGAATATTTATGCGCTAAGGATATATAAGGGGTGCGACGTAGGACGCGCGACGTGGGTACACGTGACGAAATATAAATTGTACGTTTCACTGTTTCAGCTTTGTTTTACGGATCTAGTTTAGGAGTTTGTTTATTTAGAAATTTTCTATTAATTATTATTACTACTACTTGCTACATTATTTTTTATGTATGTTATTTATAAACATTAGTACGTGTATTTTTATATGCGATGCCAGTAATTTGTCGTTGACATATAATATTTTTTTAATTGACACATGAAAATGGAACCTTAAAATATGACATTTCGCGTATATGTCTAACACTGAAACGTTAATCTTCAAGACAATCGTAAATTAAATAAAGGAAATGTATTTGTCCTTGTTATATATTAATCTGGCCCGAAATCTAAGATATCATAGTACGGTTGGCACCCCTAACTAAGAATGTTGTCACGTGATTGATTTCACTTCTATTCTGATCCTAATGTTTTTTTTTGGCAGAAAAGCTCGTGAGAAATCGTTGGAAGTACTTAAAGGACCAATGTCGGAAGGAACTCAAGAAAATAGCTGCAGGCGAGATAGACAAATCGAGGTGGCAGTACTTCGAGCAACTGCACTTCCTCACGAAGTACCTCGAGGACGGAAAAAGCAAGCAGGATTCGGATTACGAGCCACCGCGGAAAGTCCATAAAAGCGAAAGCCCGGAACCCTCCACCTCGGAGCCAGAATCACGTAAACTGTTACACATAACGAATAAGCTAAACGAATTGTCCAGAAGAATGGACAACCAGAATCCATTTGATGAAGAGTTGCGGAATGATCCGGATTTTATGTTTCTTATGAGTATTCTGCCGACGATAAGGACGCTTACGGATGTGCAAAAATTCACATTTAGGGGTAAAGTGAATGAGTGGCTATTGGAGGCGCTGGCGCAAACAGAGTTCATTTTAAACGACCAATACGAGTGTAAATACGAAGCATCGGACTCGTAGCGATAGTATGTAAAATCGACGACGGCTCTTGGACTATACGCGGTGAAGCGTACATGTTTACTACTATTGATAACAGTACGTGGAGTAAATCTGTGATGAGGTGAAGAACGATAGACTTATTTGTCTGTATATTAAGACACTGTACATTAAATACTGTCTACAGTTTGCGCGAGTAGAACACATTTAAATAAAACACTTTAACGGTTTAAAACGCGATATATTAGTTAAACTGATTTTTAACTTCGGCCCGACGTTTCGGATGCATTGCAGCAGCCGTAGTCACGGGGAGATAGTTAAAAATCATATTCAAATAAGTTTAACTAATATATCGCGTTTCAAACCGTTAAAGTGTTTTATTTAGACTGTACATTTTTATTTGATCTGTATCTTATTTTTTTTAACAAACTCTGTGATTCAATGATCAAACGCATAGCCTAGCTTAGTTTTGGATTCGAATCCCGTAATAGTTTAGGACGGGTCTGTACAGTAGTCTAAAAAACTACTTGCCTGTAAATAAAAGCGCTGAGTAAGACACATATATATGTGCACTTTTATATATCCTGTATTTAACTTACAATTTAAATGTGATAAAAATACTTTTACGAGTGTTTTAAAATTAAGAAGGGTAATAATTAAATTTAATTACTTATTAACTAACGAATTAAGTTATTTAGGTTTTTGCACGTAGTCAATCTTATATGTAAGAGAAGATCGGATTACGATTTCAAATATGTCTAATCTTATAAATGAATTGTCATTTAAGAGTAATATTGTATAATTATTTTATAAAACCGTTCTTTGTATACTTCTTAGGCAAAAAAATGTATTTTTTAGATGAGTAAATAAATATTTTTCTACAGATTTGTCGTAATGTTCTTTGACTCCGAGCTACAAATCCATACTACATTTCTCCCAGGATTCGAAACCAGGAACAAAAAACGAACTAACTACGAAAGTAACTACGTACATACTAAATTATATAAAACCAAATACAATACGTGGCATCTTCATATATAGCTATAGTTATACCTAGCGTGCCTATTATATAGAATTTCTTTTTTGTAGGGATTATTATGTATTTTAGCCCGGAGCCGTACATAAAACAAACCGAACGTAACCGAATATTTATTTCGGTTACTTATTTCTGTATAATAAGTACGGGTTTCCTTTGTAAAATGTCTGCTACATTATGTATGTATGTATTATGATTATCTTTTCAAACGTCACCGTACTTTATGTGCTGAATCTAGCAATTTAACAAGGATAATTATAAAGGCCATTACAGCGAGAGGTATTTAAAGATGAACTTTAACACAGAACGAGGAAGCCGGCGGAGGTGCGCGAGCGCATCGCTTGCCCAACACGGCCGCATTCCGGCATACTGCGGACGCGTCTATTGCAATCATGTATGTTTTACCGCCTTGGGCAGAGCTGCTAAAATAAACAATCGCTACGTGTATAGGATTAATATGCAATTTTCATTATTTAAGATTTTTAAATAATAAATCTAAAGTGATACTAAAAAATCCAAAAAAAACACTGTCTGTAGTTTACGCGAGTAGTACACATTTAAACAAAACACTAACGGTTTAAAACGCGATGTATATTAAACTTATTAACGGCTACTGCAGAGCATCTGAAACATCAGGCCGTAGTTAAATTAAATTCCAAATAAGTTTAAGTAATATACCTACATCGCGTTTTAAAACGTTAAAGTTTTTTAAAAAGATACTTGCAAATGTTAAATCTAAGCTAAGTCTAAAATTTTAATTTGAAAAATATTTCCACATTTTAAGCTTACAGAATATTTTATTATGAATATGGCATTGTATGTCAAAATACAAACAGATTGATTTCTCTAATTCCTCTCCCAGTTAGTTAGGATATTAGGCAAAATATTCATTATATAACATTGATACCTGCAAGCCTTGAAAAATACGCACTAACGAATTAATAACTAAATACTTACTTCGTTAAGTGGTAAACAATATTAGATGCGCATAAACAAAAAGTTTCTCATAGTTTTAAATAAATAAAATATTATAAAACAATAAGCTAAGTGTCGATTAACCCAAGAAATGCGATCAGTACACCTCAGCCTTCACACAAATTATAGGCTTTACCCCAAGGCTCGCTATTGAATAAATTAAACAATCAATTGGTCATTTAATATCAATTATACTGATGTCCCGGGGGTATCGCTCGAATCGTGATCAACGTTGATGATTTAAACACCTGCTGAATGCAACACTATGAGGGATTGTAGCCAATTAACCGACAGAGACGAAAATATGATACCCGATTTATGCCATCAATAACAAACAAAGGAATCTAAGTTGTTATACTCATTATAAATTTAAAATAAATAAATAAAGTATTGTCTGTAGTTTACGCAACTTTTAACTGTTTACAACGCGATTTATATTAGTTAACTTATATTTTATTGTATTGAAAAATCGTTAAGTGATTTATTGAAATAAACTTTTTTTTTATTTATAAGAGAAAAATATTTTAGATCAATTATTAGATTATAGTTTAAGTTTAAATATTTTTATATTAATGGATCGAGCGGCACCAGAAGATGCAAGTATTAGGGAGCGATATGAAAAAATGGATTTATATAGACACAGATTATAAAGCTACAGTAGTACACTTTATTAAACAGTTTTGTTTAGCTCGACCCGTACGGGTTTTATTTATTTGGGCCAAAAATGAAATTTAACCACCTTCCCGTTGTCAGATTGATCTCAAATTTGACACACGTTTAATTTCGATGACCGGACAATAATCCAAGATGGCCGCCGATACAAAATGGCGGATTACATATTATTAACACCTTCAATATGGGTATCAAATAAAAGGTAAAGCTACACTAGTAAAACACGATTATGGTAATTTTTTTTTTTATAGTTTTCAGTGCACCAAAAATAAAACTGAAGAATTGGTGACTAGGAATATCTCTTGACCCTTTGTCCCGACACTAACAATCACCACTCGACGTGATGAAAAATCGCTTTTAAATTATTGAAACAATTAGTTTTGTATGCTGCAGGCGTTTTCGGATTTCATATTAATAGCGGCCGTGACATTTACTGGCAACACTTATGTAAACGGCTGTTGGGTATTCTTATTGGCGAGGGATACCATAGATTAATGTGAGAGTTTGGTAACTTGAAACAAATAAAGACTTTTCAGATGTTCAAAGCCAAAAAAGCTTTAGACCCATTTTAATTTACAGCAAGTAAAGACCCTGCTTGTCTGTATACATATAACGGTTTACAATAGGACACAGAAGGACGATCAATATAATCAGTCATCAAAGCAGACAATGAATAACGTCAGCTATATAACGTTTTACACGATGCCCTGTCGACGCATTTCGACTTTGGATATTCGGATATCCATAGACTGAAACCGAAACACAATTAAACTTTACTAAATTAAATTTAACGAATATATCGCGTTTTAAACCGTTAAAGTGTTTTATTTAAATGTGTACTACTCGCGTAAACTATAAGTAGACAGTATTTAAACTTCACCCTGTTTTGCATCTCTGGACGATGGTTTGTGATCCAAGCGGAATTTTCGATTACCACCCATTCAATATCCAGATTTCCAGACGGAGTCCTGGTTTTCGGAGACGGATATGTCATAGAAAAAAATATAAATTGTTTCGAAAAAGCTAGGTCCCGGGGGGGATTGTTGACTATTAGGCTTACATTGCTACCATAAGACCAACGACCCCGTCAGTACCAAGTAGTTTCCCCAAGTATGTGAAATTTAAAATTAATAACTTTCAATGAGTCACTGAACCTTAAAATTGTTTAAGTTGTTCATATCGAAAGATCTCATAAAAACCTCGACAAAAGGTCAGACGCAGCTGCAAACATTTTAAAGAAATTGCGCAATTATCGGTCAGAGGACGTCATGAAGCCCCGGCTTTATTGAATTAAAAGATGCCCCACAACAGCTAATACTACGATTGGCAAGATTGAAGTACACACCGTCTTCGTTTCAAGCTAGTAATGTTCCACTGCTTGGTATACTTTTCCCTTCTCATCAGTGAAGGGAAAAGTATACCAAGATGATTCATCTACACGTCTAGCAGTATCGATATCGTATTTGACACAAAGACGCATTTTAGGCTGTGGCCTATTAAACTAATAAAAGTAAAAGTAGATATTTGGGATGTGTCTGCGCCTAGAGTAAGTCTTCCCCAAACGGGTCATGGGTATCAGTCTGCTAGACGGTAGACCCGGGTGCTGATGATAAACCGGACCGACGGTGTAACGTGGTCATTAAGGCTCGGAGGAGATATTTATGTCATAACTCCTAAGCTCAGAGATCGAACGTATTGTCTAGCATAGGATGCTACAGAATCTCGGTTTGATTCTTGGTGATATAAAATATTTTCGTAAGGACAGGGCATATAAAAAGACACATCAATAAGTCCCAAAAATGCTCTACGGAAAAATTTAATCAGGAATATTAAATATACACTCATAAGTTATAAATACATAGAATATATTATAATAATAGATATTGTAAGAGTGTGTACGGAAGTAACGAGCTATCGACATGTGGGTGACGATATGAATACAATCATATCAAGGCCTGTAGAAATCAGATTTCTACCTACGTGCGAATATAGACTCGAATATTGATGTAGGAGTGGTATTGTAAGTACATACTATCAATAATGTTACGTACAGACGTTAGAATGTTATAAAAGAAAGAAATTACTTTAGGACTGTGTGACTGAGAATTTGTAAATCACGAGATATTTTGGGTTATACTATTAAGACGCACAATAATTATAATAGGAATATTTATAAAACCACTGAGGGTAGCAGTTACAGGGAGAGAATGTATATCGACGATTCACAGCCTACCGTAGCTTTATTAAGGAAATATAAAATACACATCGTTTAAAGCATCAAAGGTCAAAAACGATATGAAGATATTGTTACAGTTGCCTTCTTTAAAAATCGTATTAGGTG